GCACGCGCGTGCTTTCTGTCCATGCATGTACTTTGGTATATTCCAAACTTTTAAGTTTTACCTTTTCCTCTTCCCCCAGCCCATGCGTTCGATTTACTACATATAAATAAATGAATCTGCTAACAATACATTTTCAAGACATATATTTTCAACTTTCACGTGTACATACACATTGATGTTAGCAGGTCACGGAAATATTGCTCTGTGTTTACATTTGAATACCTTCCCTCAATGTTTATACTATTTCATGTTTATTTTTTATTATTTTCTGTACTAGTGAATTCTTATGATGACACAATCTTGTTTAATTCTTCCAAGCGTAAAGTTCTTACTTTTCATTTTATTTTTGAACACCCTATATATGTAAAAACTTGTGTTTATTTCAGTTTATATGTGTAGTATACGTAGGACTATTTCTGTAAACTAACTTAAATATCCAGTTTTTCATTGTCAGACTATGTATAAATCTTAATTTTTGCAAATTTTTGTTTGTTAATAACTTTTTAATAAGCAACGAGCGACGATTAAATTAGAAGAAAAAGTGGTAAATGTTCAGATTAACTTACACCTCACGGATCGTTCTCATTTTTACATATATTATAGAGGGCACGTTCCTAAGTAACACGCACTTTGAATTTTGTGGCGCTCTCTTCTGGTTTCAGAGATATGCGATTTTGAAGTATCATAATTTTCGCATTTATTTCTATGATCTTTTCACTATATCCAAATTATACATTCTGTAGGATAAACTTCGTAAATCAAAGGAATCCTAATCGCATTGAACATTGATTATGAATTGATATTGTAGCATATATATATATTTTTTTTTAAGTAATGTATGTGAATGATAATATATGTAGATAATATATATAATTGAAATTTCAGTAGATTTGTAAATCATTATATATATATTTTTTTAAACATGCTTTTTGTATAAAACCTTAATAAAATTTTATATAAAATGTAAATATTTAATATAATAATATTTTTATTATATGAATGATGCAAGTAATTTTCATATAATATGAGATATTGGAGTGGTACCCGTTTGACCACGCTAATATTGACCACGGTCCCGATTGACCACGTTAAGATTGACCACGTTGCGATTGACAACGTTGATATTGACCACGTTGATATTGACCACGGTCCCGATTGACCACTGTCCTGATTGCCCACAGTCCCGATTGACCACGTTGATATTTAC